GTGCTTATGCCCATCTCAACTCTAAAAAAATCCTTGATCTCAACCTTCCAGGTTCCAGTATCTCTCTTCCCTCTAATAGCAAGTTCAACATGTTTAATAGATGCTGGAACTTGAGAGTTCAAGGTAAGATTAAACACTTTATTTGGAGATGTCTCTCTGGCTCTTTACCTGTAAAGATGAATCTGGTGAAAAAAGGCCTTCATCTTGATGTAACTTGTCAAACTTGTGGTCTGGAGAAAGAAACTATAGAGCATTTGCTGTTTCACTGCCCAAAAGCCAGCAGAGTTTGGGACCTTGCTCCTGTGAAATGGGATGGTCTGAACTCATACACTTCCTCATTCAAATGCTGGTGGTCTAATTTATGCTCTCTGAACCTTGGGCAAGTTGCTGAATCCAGAATCCAATTGACTACCTACTTATTGTGGTGGCTTTGGAAAACTCGTAACTTGTGGATATTTCAGAACACTTCCCTCTCAGCTCCTCAAATTGTTAAAACAACCCAGAGACAATGGATGGAGTTTGCTCAGCTAGCTGGTTGACTTTCCTCGTTTTGCTGCTTTGTCTTAGTTTTTTCTGTTGGCCTTGTTGCTTTTTTTGGCTTGTTTTGTTTGTTTTATTTTCACTCTCTAGGCTTTGGCAGTGGAGAGTTGTTAGTGGCAGTTGCAGTTTGAGTGTCTTTCTTATTTTGAGGTTCTAGGCCGCCTGCGAGCGTGTCCTCTCATTTCTTGCATTCCGGGTTTAGTCTTGTATTTGTATTAGATTTCAGTGTTCCTTTGAGTTATATATAAGCTTCTATCGTTTTGGAAAAAAAAAAAAGAAAAAAAGAAAACATGCTAATTTTGTTAGAAAAGTATGAATATCAATATTTACAAACAAAAAATCTTTTAAAATTACTACTTTTTTGTTGCTAGCGTTTAAATATATGGATTGTGTAAGAAATTGGTTCTCATAAATAATGATCATATATTATTTATTTTCAATTTTAAATAATTAAAAAATCTAAAAATTTGTATACATGATGTATATTTTAATCATGACTCCATAATAATAAACTTTACAAATGACTAAAAGTATCGTCATATAATGGAATTATAATTCTTCTGTTGTCAAATATTTTAACAAATGATATGCTTTTCAATATTTTCTCATTCTTTTGTTTTATCATTGCAAAAAATAGATTATATTGTTCGTCTATATTCTAGATAAATAACACTGAAAATGAAATGTAGGAGTATCAAAACAGTTTGAATGTTAGAAGTAAGTTGTCACTTTTTATAGAAATATTTATAATCTCATTGGTGTATTGTGCTTGAACATATGTGCAATTACTTTAGAGGTACTTTCAGGTAATGTGTGATGATTTCAAAAAATAATTTAGCACCTCGGGAGAAGTACATGTAACCAAGATTTTGGCAAGTCAACTTTTATTTGGAGATAAAATTCATTCCCACCTCGTGGGGCGATGCATCAATGGGGTAGACACTAATATATCTAGAGATGGAGGAATGTAGTAGTTTATACAATGATAAAAAATATTTTACTGACACCGTTAGTTATTTCATAGAGATATTTATCCTTTGTTAGTAGAAGTACCTTATTATAAAAATCATACGATCATGAAGTTTGACTATATGTTGGGTCAGAATGTTTCTTAAGTGTTTGAATAAAATTGGCGTTTTGCCAAATTAATTAAGAGGAATTTTGCAATAGTATTGA